TTGCCTTGTTCCTGATTTTAGGAGGATTGGTTGTAGCTTTTCCCCATTAAGTATAATATTGGCTATTGGTCTGTCATAAATGGCTTTTATTGTTTTTAGAGTCACGTGAATTTTTGAATTGCTTTCTGCACTTAATTGAAGAATGTCCTTGGGATTTTGAGTTTTTAAGTTGCTTTGGGCAAAATTGCCATTTTCATTATGCTAATTCTTCCAGTCTAAGAATATGAAAGGCCTTTCCATTTCCTTATATCTTCTTCAGTTTCCTTTTTTTTTTTTTTCAGATTTTTGAAGTTTTTCACAATAGAGGTCCTTCACATCTTTAGTTAATTAGGGTTTTTTGTTTTTGTTTTTTTGAGGGTACTATAAATGGGGCCACTTTCCTTATTTTAGTCTCGATCTTCTCACTGTTGGCATACAGAAAAGCTTCTGGTTTTTGTGGGTTGAATTTATAAACTGCTACTTTGCCAAAGTTTAGGATCAGCTCTAGTAGCTTGCAGGAGGAGACTATATGGTCCTTTATATACAAGCTCATGCCATCTTCAAAAATAGGTAGTTTTTACTTCTTTCCCTCTTTGGATCCCCTTTATGTTTTTCCCTTGCCTTATTGCTCTTGCTAGAAATTCCAGTACTATACTTTGAAGAGGAGTGGAGAGAATGGACATCCTTGTTTCATTCCTGATTTCAGAGGAAACAGTTTTGGATTTTTACTATTATATACTTAATGTTTGCTGTAGGTTTGTCATTTACAGCCTTTATTAAATTGAGGACTGCCCCATGTATTCTAGCTTCTCCACAGCTTTTATCATAAAAGGGAGTTGGATCTTGTCAAAAGCTTTTTCTTTGTCTATTGAGATGATCATGTAGTTCTTGTTCTTGCTTCTGTTCATGTATTGTTTTACATTTATTGATTCACATATATTTAGTCAACTTTACATCCCTAGGATGAATTTGATCATAGTGTATAATTTTTTTGGTTAGTTGTTGAATTTCAGTTGGCCAGAACTTTGTTTTCATATACTTTTCTTTCACTACTTGCCAGTCAATTATTTAGCATTTCAAGGGGCTACCTAAGCATTTAAAGCATTTTCCAAATAGTTTCGTTTATTGCTTTGAAAATTACTTCTGAAAGAATGCTGTTCATTTTGTGAAGTATTACAAAGCTGTTGTATAAAATTTCCAGAAAGCAGCTGAAAAATAACATAAATGGCTGTAAATAGTTTATGAGCCAGGCACCTAGTTGCTCACACCTGTAATCCTAACTACTCAGTAGGCTGAGATCTGAGGATTGCAGTTTAAGCCAGCCTGGGCAAGAAAGTCTGTGAGACTCTTTATCTCCAATAAACTACTCAGAGAAAGCTGGGAGTGGCACTGTGCCTCAAGCACAGAGTGCTAGCTTTGAACAAAGAGAGGCTCAGGGACAGAGCCCAGGCCCTGAGTTCAAGCCCAGCCCCAGCAAAAAAAAAAAAAGTTTATGAACCTTAGTGTAAAACTCTTAGTTATTTCCATTACCGTAAGACTAACAATGCTCAAACTTTTTCCAGGTAGGTTATATAATTGTTATTTCATGTATTTAAATACTATCGCTGTAAAGTTTAAAATACAGAAAATTATTTACCGTGAAAGTTGTGGAATGTAATCACGATACCAGTAAGTAAATGCAGTATAACGAATTGATTTGATTTGATTTAATAAGCCTTTTCAGGCTATTTTATTTATAAGTGTCTCTAGAATGCTTAACATGCTAAATTGGTAGTTACTTTATTTCAGTATTTAGAAGATGCCATTCAGTATTTAGAAGATGCAGTATAACAATTTGATTTGTTTTGATTTAATAAGCCTTTTCAGGCTATTTATTTATAAGTGTCTCTAGAATGCTTAACATGCTAAGTTGGTAGTTACTTTATTTCAGTATTTAGAAGATGCCATTCCTTTTCCTTTTGAATTTCTCCTTCCTACCTCTCTCCCTTTCTTTTCCTTGATCTCTCTCTTCCTTGTTCTTCTCCTCCTCTTCTTTCTCTACTTCCTCCTCCTCCTCTTTCCTTTTTTCTTTTAAATAAATACTCAAGGTTCTGTGCTTGCTAAGCAGGCACACCACACTGAGCCATGCATCTAGCCCATTTTGATCTGATTATTTTTAGAAAGGGTCTCACTTTCTGCCTAAGCCAGCTGGGACCTTGATCCTATTTGTACTTCCTTTTGTAGCTAGAGTGATAGGTGTTATCTCTTTATCACTATACTGGCCTGAAACTGTAGTCCTCTTGATTGCAGCTTCCACATAGCTAGGATGACAGGTGCTTGCCACCACACCTAGCTTATTGTTTGAGATGAAGTCTTCCAAACTTTTATCTAGGCTGGTCTCAAACTGTGATCCTCTTGGGAAGCCAGGATTATAGGCATGAATTCTTCTCCCTTCTCTTCTCTCTCCCCAACCTGTTCCCTCCTCTCCCAACCACTGAAAATTCAGCTTTAGTCTAACTTTTCTTTCTTTGAATATTATGTGTCTTCTCTGTTGTTTTCTGCAAAATGGGTTGATTCTTAAGGTAAATGAAGAGTATTCCCAAATAGAGCTGATGCATCATAGGGCTCAAGGATTAAAAAATGAAGCAGAAGACTTTAGTGTACTTTATGCCCAGATTCACTGCCCAGGTGGGTGTGCAATAGTAACAAGACAACTATTGAAGAAGTCCTGGTTTTAAAAGTCATATACATCTTATATCTGACTTTCAGCTTACCACTCTGTATGAGAACTTAAGTATGCACAACCAGCAGTTAGAAGAAGAGGTCAAGGACCTAGCAGACAAGAAGGAATCAGTTGCACATTGGGAAGCCCAGATCACAGAAATAATTCAGTGGTGAGTTCTCTTTAAAATACTTCGGGTAGGGGCTGGGAAGGTGGCTCAGCGGTAGAGTGCTTGCCTTGCATGCATAAGGCCCTGGGTTCGATTCCTCAGCACCACATAAGCAAAAAGAAAAAAAAAGCCGGAAGTGGCGCTGTGGCTCAAGTGGTAGAGTGCTAGCCTTGAGCTGAAGAGTTGAGGGACAGTGCCCAGGCCCAGAGTTCAGGCCCCATGACCGGATCCAAAAAAAAAAAATACTTCGGGTAATTTTGAACAAGTGGACAAGTTGGTATAAATTCTAAGAAGCTGTTGACATTTTATCTTAGTTGTTTTCTACAGACAATAATTTACTTTGAAAAGCTTTATTGCTGATCTTCAATGTGTTTTCCCAACTTCATAAATGTCCTGTACCACTTTTACACAGCTCCATTGGAACCTGATATTTCTTCCTACAAATGAAAAGTACAAAGGCATGGCTCAGGCAGTAGAGCAACAGCAAGTGAGTAAAGGCAGCAGATACTGAGTTCAAGTCCCGGTCTCAGAAGAAAAAGCAAAAATAGAAATACTCTCCTAGGTCAGTTAGTCCTTGAAAGGCTGAAGAAACTCCTAAATGATTACAACTTTGTATTACCAACTATTCTGTAATCTCTGGGACTTAATTATTTAGCCTAGCAAAACTGTCACAATACATTGACTACATGATTATTATGATGCTTGTAAAAATTTGTATATTTTATGCCATATAGAGAAAGTAGACTGTAGTGAGGACTTTTTATTTCTTAAAAAAACAAGTAGCTTAACTTTTTGTGTTTAACTTTTTATTTCAAAACAGCTGATTTCTTTGTGTGGTCTCTCTAGACCAATTAATTTGTTGCTCTTTGTGCTCATATTCTGGTTCAAATATTTTTCCATTTTCTTTATCTTATTAATAACCTCTTCCTTAAATAAAACCAAAAGTGAATAAACACTGCATTTTAAGTAACTACTCATATAACTTAAGAATTTTGATACTGGCTTAACTAGAGAGCTCTTTCATTAAATAACCTCTGCCTTATGAATATCCCTGTTCAAAGCCCAGATAGTAGAGACTTTGCTATATTCCCAAAAGTACAGTTAGTAGTTCATTTTATATTCACATTATCCATTCCACATTTCTAAAGTGAAGTGATTTTAATCTGCCACCAGTTTTTAACATCAAAAAATGCAGCGGAATAGCATAAAGTGGAGTTGAGAATATCTTTCTAAGTTGACATGTCCAAAGCCTGTGTGTGGCCTGTGACCCTAGACCACTGCCACATGCCATAGCTGACCTAATGCATTCCCTTGGGTGGGGCGTGATCCCGGTGAAGGAGGGCCTAGACCATGGCCGCACGCCATAGCTGACCTAATGCATTCCCTTGGGTGGGGCGTGATCCTGGTGAAGGAGGGCCTAGACCACTGCCACACGCCATAGCTGACCTAATGCATTCCCTTGGGTGGGGCGTGATCCTGGTGAAGGAGGGAAGCCCTGTGCATTGTTATTTTGAGGTAGGGAGCTTCAACATGTGACCTGGGCTGGCCTCCAGTTCCTGTGTTTCCGCCCCCCGAGTTCTGGGATTACAGGTGTGCAGCCTTGTGCCTGGCCGGGAAGGAAGCTTTAATCAGGATTCTCTAGAAAGTTTTAATAGGAAGGATGGAGTTGAAGATTCTCATACAATGGTCCAAAACACTAACTTTATACTGGCACTTAGAAAGTTTGCTGAAAAACTGAGAAGTAACAATTGTTATTTAAAATGGACTGATAACTTCTGATACCAGATGAGTGCAGCTACCCCTGAGTATCTGAGGAATTTGTTCCAGGATCCTGCTTTGCAACCTAGAATCCACAGATGCCCAAGTTCCAAATGTACAGGGGTATAATAACCACATACAGTTCAATATATCCTTCCATACACTGTGAATCACCACTAGTTGCTTACTCTGATACAATGTCAGTGTTATGTAAATAGTCCACTATTACTTAGGGAATAATGGTGAGAAAAAAGTATATGTTCAATTCCAAAGACATTTGTAACTAAATGTGGTTGACTGAGTCTGTAGATGGGGGAGAGGGGACTCATGAATTCAGAGGGCTGACTGTTCATATCTAATAGCAAGGTATACATTCCTTGGTCTCAAAAGTTATCACCTACTTTGAAAGCTAACTCTCAAATAAAATACCAGTAAAGAGGAGAAGACTCAGGATATTTCCTTTTATTTTTTTAAATTTTTTATTGTTTATAGGATTTTGGAGTTTATGATTCCAGCCCAGAAATGATCAACCAATAAAACCTATGCAAATTACCCCAAAACTTGAAAAACTCTGAAATCCAAAATACTTCTTTCAGAATATCCTTTGTCTTATAACACTGAAATGAATGAAGTATCCCTCACTTAGGCTGATTGAATTTGGAGCATTTGTGTAAAATAAGAGAAAAGAGATTAATAATGTTAATGCAATAATACTGTAATGAATACTGGATAAGAATTTGAACTTTATTTATAAGAGCAAGAAGATTTCCTCAAAAGGTAATAGCATTGATTAAAATGGTGTAGCAGGAAGGTAGCTCTTAGTATATTCAAGATGAAATGGAAGTTTAGGGAAAAGTAAACAAATGTGGGAATATTATAAAAGAAAAAACTATAGAACCTAATTATTAAATATAATAAAGGGCATTGCATAAGGAAGAATGAATATTTCTGTAATTCCGAGTTTAAGAAAACAATGGAGCAGACAGTGGTAGCTCAGATCTGTAATCCTACTCAAGAGACTGAGATCTGAGGATAGGGGTTCAGAGCCAGCTGGGGCAGATAAATCCCTGACTCCAGTTAGTCAGCAATAAACCAGAAGTGGAGGTATGGCTCAAGTGGTTGAGATCTGGAAAAAGACAAATGAGAGCTGGAAGCCCTACTTTCAAGCTCCAGTACTGGCACAAAAAAGAAGGAGGGAGAGGAGAAGGAGGAGGAGGAGAGAAGAAAGAAGAAAGCATGGTTTTTGTGTGGGGATGATGACACCGGCAACTGTAGCTAGTTTTGTTTGTGTGAGACTGAAGCTACCCTGAGACATCTAAGTAGAGATTTTTGATACATTTCTAAAACTGGAATAAGGTTAGGATAAGAAATACAAAATTTGGAATTAAATTTCTGGTGAATAAGGTGTTATTAAAGCTATTTAGATTTTTATGAGACCTGAAAGAAAGATCATTGTTATAACTACAAAATAAAACATAGAGTTGTACAGTATAGAGGAACCAGGGATGTTTTATAACCAGTCGTGAGTTTCAGTTATGAAGTATTTATTTCGCCTTATTTAAATCTGTTCACCTGAAACTTTTCTTATTCAGTAGCCTTCATTTGTATATAGTAATAGCTGTGTTGACTAAAGAATATTAGAGCATTGGGCTAGAAATGGACATATAGTCTCATTTAGCTAGCCCAACTGATCTATGAGATAGCTATAATAATTATCCCTGGGACTTTTTTGTTTTGTTTTGTTTTTTTGGTGTTGGTTCTGGGCTTGAATTCAGGGCTTTGAGGGTTTTTTGTTTGTTTGTTTGTTGTTGTTGTTGTTTTTGCTCAAGGTTACTGCTTCCATTGTTACTTTAATTGTCCAAGTGCTTAACTTATTCACTCACCCAGTATATTCCCTAAAGTTGAAACTCTGTCTCAACTATTAAAATAACTACTCAACTTTAAAAGCCTAATGTAGATCTGATTTTCTTGGTTTATCTAATTCTTTTCTCTCATGTTCTCTCAATTAATTAACTAATACTTAATACTCTGACAGGGTTCATTTAGGAAGAGAGAAGATGATATGCACGATACAGTTCTTTAAAAGCTAGGGAGAGGCTGGAAAGGTGGCTCAGTGGTAGAGCGCTTGCCTTGCATGCATGAGGCCCTGAGTTTGATTCCTCAGCACCACATAAGCAAAAAGAAAAAAGCCGGAAGGGGCGCTGTGGCTCAAGTGGTAGAGCGCTAGCCTTGAGCTGAAGAGCTGAGGGACAGCGCCCAGGCCCAGAGTTCAGGCCCCACGACCAGACCCAAAAAAAAAAAAAAACAAAACTAGGGAGATAAGGCAAGAAAAATAGACAAAAGGGATTCACATAGGTAAAGAAGAAGTCAAGCTATTCCTATTTGTAGATGATATAATCTTCTATCTAAAGGACCCAAAAGGTTCCATCCTGAAGCTTCTAGAGCTTATCAATAACTTTGACAAAAATCAGTAGCCTTTCTGCATATCAACAGAGCACAAGTAGAAGGGGAAATCAGAAAAACAACTCCATTTTTAGTATCTTCAAACAACAACAAAAAGAAACTAGGAATAAACCTAACCCAAAAGTCAAAAGACCTTTATAGCAAAAACTATAAAATTTTGAAGAAAGAAATCAAAGATTTTCTTTAATCAGGAAAGACCTTCCGTGGTCATGGATAGGTAGAATTATTGTAAGAAACATCCATACTGCCAGAAATGGTCTACAAATTTAATGCAATCCCCATCAAAATCTTCATGGAGACAGAGAAAACATTCCAAAAATTCATACGGAGCAACAAAATACCTCAAATAGCCAAAGCAGTTCAAGGCACAATCTCAGACCTCAAGTTCTACTACAGAGCTATAATAACAAAAACAGCTGTGCAAAAATAGACCCAAAGATCAATGGAACAGACTAGAAGACCAGAAATAAAACCATATATTTGCAGTTATTTGATATTTGATAAAGGAGTCAAAGATATATAGTGGGAAAAAGATAGCCTCTTCAATACTTGGTGTTGGGAAAACTGGACATCTATTCACAGAAAGCTAAAAGTGGATCCCAGTGTGTCACCATGCACAGGTATCAACCCAAAGTGGATTAAAGACTTCAACATCAGCCCTGAAACTTTGAAATTACAGCAAGATGAAGTAGGAGAGACACTAGAACTCACTCACAGGGTTAGGTAGAAGCATTTTCAAGAGTCTCAGGGACACAGCAGATAGGAGAGAGATTTGACAAATGGGATTGCATCACACTAAAACGTTTCTGCACAGCAAAGGACATGGTTACTAAACTAGAAAGACAACTAAGAGACTAGGAAATATTTACCAGCAATACATCAGACAAAGATAGGAGCTCAAGAAACTAACCCTTCCCAAATCTAATAAATCAGTTACTAAATGGTAGAAGGAGCTAAGGAGAGACTTCTCAGAAGAGGTAATAATGGCAAAGAACATGAGGAAATGGTCATCATCCCTGGCCATAAAGGAAATGCAAATCAAAACAACAAATCAAAAAAAAAATTGGACTGGGAAGGTGGCTCGGTAGAGTGCTTGCCTCACATGTATGAGGCCCTGGGTTCAATTCCTCAGCACCACATAAGCAGAAAAAGCTGGAAGTGGTGCTGTGGTTCAAGTGGTAGAGTCTTCAGCCTTGAGCTTAAATGCTGAGGAACAGCACCCAGGCCCAGAGTTCAGTCCCCACGACTGGAAAAAAAAAAAAAATTGAATGCCAGATGGGCTCACACCCATAATCCTAGCTACTTAGAAGGCTGAAGTCTGAACATTATGGTTCAAAGCCAGCCCAGACAGAAAAGTCTGTGAGATCTTATCTCCAATTAATCACCAGAAAACTGGGAGTGGCATTGTGGCCTAAGTGGTAGAGTACTGTCCTTGAGCTGAAGAACTCAGGGACAGTACCCAGGCCCAGAGTTCAAGCCCCATGACCAACCAAAAAAAAACAACAAAAACCCTGAGATTCCCTCTCACCCCTAGTTAGATTGGCCTAAGAATTCTTCAGAAAGACTCAACACTCACACGTGTGTGTTAATTATTAAATTTAAAGAGTTGTAATTTTGTGGCTCAAAGGTAAGAGATTTATTGATTTGTCAGGTAAAAGTAACCAGGTTTTTTTGTTTGTTTTTTTTTTTGGGGGGGGGGGTTGGTCCTGCGGCCTGAACTCTGGGCCTGGGCTCTGTCCCTCAGCTCTTCAGCTCAAGGCCAGCGTGTATCACCTGAGCCACAGCGCCACTTCCGGCTTTTTTCTTTTTGCTTATGTGGTGCTGAGGAATTGAACCCAGGGCCTCAGGCATACAAGGCAAGCGCTCTACCACTGATCCACCTTCCCAGCCCCTCTTTGTTTTCTTTTATTCATTTTTTAATGTAAGTTATTACTGTTTTAGTCCAACATGGACAGGAAGTTGTCGTACAGCCAGATAAACCTCAA